AACTAATTGCGAATTACATGACAAGAATTTCGTACTATTACGCATTTTTAAAAAAAGTAAGGTATTATTGAAATAATTCCAAAATGATGATTCCTACTCGACATGATATTTAATAAGTTATATATTACTTCGCCATGATCCTACACAATATTAAAAAAAAAAAATTACCAAAGTTTGATCAATAATTTTACACCCTTTCCACCTTGGAATGCGTGGCATTTGTCACTTTATGCTTGGAATGTAAACTTTTATTAGAACAATAAACTTAACTTCATTTCCAATACAATTGAATATTGTAATTTGTGTACTATTCCAAAATAGTTCGTATATTCAAATTTGAATGGATATTTATACATTCTTAACTCTTTCATTGTATGTATATTATGTCCATGATTAATTCAGATAAAATTCATTTTTTAATAAAAATTAATAAAACATGTGATTGAAAAGTTATTAATTTCAGAAAATTACTTACTGATTTAAATTAACTTTTTTAGTTAAATCAAGTAGTGGCTATGCATTACAACAATATCTAGAAAGGAGACACGTGTTTACAATTGGGTTGCGAGTGTTGTAAGACTATTTTTGTACTTTATTTTCATCAAGCAATAGAAAGCATTTAGTTCGTCGAAGAAAGTTTGAAATAGAATGTATAGTTTATTGTTAAGGTATGTTTGATAGCACACATTTTCTAGGGAAGTAGGAAAACAATTTCCATTTTCAACAAAAGTGATTGTTTGATATGTTTTTTTTGCCATGGAAAAGAAATTCCACCCAACTCCAATCATGCTACAAGTACACTAATTTTGACATCAAATTTGACATTGTACCACGTGACGACATCACATTGGACAGTTTTTAAAAACAACACACTTTTCCGCCAAACACAATTTGAATTTGCACATGGTGTCAAACTTGATGTCAAGAAAATATTGTACAATAGGCTTTATTCTCATTTTTTTTAACCTTATTTCGGAATATATTATTAAAACTAGACTATGCCTAATTGGTTTATTAAAAATTTAGCTCCGATTCACCTTATTTTTTTTGGTAAAATATATTATAAAATAGTGATTGGAGAATGTATGATTAAAAAGTAAGAATTTTTTTTTAATACGTGTATAATTATTTTATGAAAGAATGTGTGATTGAAAATGTATTCTTAAAAAAATGGGACTCAAACGAGATGTTAGATTAAAATTTAAATTCAAGTCAATAATTAATTTTAATTATATATTTTACGGGACTCATTCAAAAAGAGAGAGAGAGAGAGAGAGAGAGAGAGGGACCATCGATTTTTGGTACTTCAATAATCAAGTCAAATCTATATAAGAGATATAGGGAAATTGGATGAGCGAGAGACAAACGAACAAGGTTCACCAGTATGGTAGCTTTTGTACCTCGGTCTGTTGAGATACATCCCCCAATTTACCCC